GTGCAGCCGGCCGGGCTCGGCCCCCGGGGGCTCTGGGAGCAGATGCCCGGGGACGCGTGAAGGGGCTCGGGCGCCGTCTCGGCGAGGTCCGGCCTGCGGGGAGGTGGGTTTGCTGCCTCAGCGTGGCAGGTGAGGCGCTGCCTCAGCTGTCCCTGCCGTTGCAGGCGTCAGATGCCGCAGCGAGGTGCTAATTCGGGGCAGTCGGTGGGTTTCGGTGTGTGGAGTCTGCGCTGGGGAGAGCAGAGCTGGGGCAGGGGAACAAGGCGAGGTAGGTCTGGCCAGCTGTGGGTTAGTGCTGCTGCTGGAATTCAGGAACCTGGGGGGGAATGCACCTGTTTGGCTCATTAGAAAGAGTGTTTTTGCTTAAGTCCCTGACAGCTCTGTGCTACTTTAAAAAAACCAACCCAAAACAAACAACAAACAAACATCCACAGCATCTCTACTCGAAGTAAGTTGTCCTTTAGGTCTGAAAGACTGCTGCCCTTTTTCATTGCAATGTTTTGTGTGTGTGCAAGAGGAGTGGAGAAATCTGAGCACAGCTTTAAGATCCTGTTTGTCAACTATGTCAAGAAACGCCTAAGTTTCTCTCGGGCACTCCTACAGTAATACTTATTTGCCGCAAGATACAGCGGTATTGCTGACTTGTGTGGGAATGCACTGTTTCATCCTCTTCTTGAGCTAAAACTGAAGTTCCCTATTTGAACAATAATCTGGTGGGGAGAGGAGAAAACCTGCCAGACAGTAACAGCCCCCTACTCACTGCTGCAATTCTGTGCTAAAAGCGTGGGCTGCAACAAACTTAGCAGTGAGGCCGCTTGAGGTCTCGGGACATGTGTTTCGGTGCTGTCATGTGATGGTGACAAAGCTGGCTCGTACCGGTGGCGCTCGGGGAGCTTTTATTCGCCGTAGGTGTTAAAGGGTCGGGAGAGCTGGACTTATTTTGTACGCTCTGTAGTTCAAAAGAAAAATAAACCCCACAATCCTAAAAACCTGTATCGAAATAAAAGAAAAAAAATTTTTTGGTCAAACAATTTAAGGAAACAATTTAAAAGTGCAATTTGAAGAGGTGATGGTAATTTATAAAGATACTGGTAGCTCAGATATGCTTGTTTAAGTGATCTGAATGCTTTTATTTTAGAAATACTTGTCACCCAGGAGCTTACAGTAGCTAACAAACCTTGACCCATACCTTACCTTTGCCATAACTGTGCTTGTTCTGTAGTTTGCCTGAGAACTTCTGAGGTCTGGGCTTAGTACAGTGAAGTTGTGTGTGTGTTTTTTGTTTTAAATGGTAAGTTTTGAGTGAGAACTTACTGTCCGCTTAACAACACTAGATGCAAAGTTTCACTCTTTTTTTTTTTTTTTGTCCCAGTGGTTTCCACTGACTCCTGCTGTTTCCTGAAGCTTCCTGTTTTGTTCCTTTTTTTTTTTTATATTTAAACCAAAGGCTGTTTTTTCTTCCTCCTTTTCTCATCTGCCCTGTTGCTTTATCTCTGACTCTTACTCTCCTTTTAAGCCTTTATTAATGCCCTAGTGGCCTTGCATTTTCCAGTGGCCAGAGGTTGCTTAAGTTTAATGCTAAAAATAATGATCTTGGAAATGACAGGAAATGCATTTAATTATCAAAACCCCCACTCTAACAGTCATGGGTATGGAGTTCTGCTCTTGTTTTTGTGAAGGAGTTGGGGTTTTTTTGTGATCTTGGGTTATTTAAGCTTACTACACTGTTCCTCAGTGCTTCTGGTTGAAGAGACTGATGCTTGCTATAAATCTAATTAAATTAAAACCTGCATTGCTTTAAGAGACATAATAAAATTGTCAGTTACTGCAAATTTCCTCTATGTATTTCTCAGTAATGTGACTTCACCAAAAGATGTAGGCAGACTGTTCCTGCACGCCTCTAACATGGTAGGGTGCTTCATCTAAAAATAAGGGTAGCGCTAGAGGTTCATAGGTGGAAAAGCAGTACCAAACCCGTAGTTTGTTCTTTTTGTGGTTTGTGTCTTTTTGGGTTTTTTTCTTCCCCCTTTCCACATGCTTATGGTACTTCCTGAATTGTAGAGGACCCATGACTTTCGTAGCTGGGCCTTAGGTTTTCTGATCATCTCTGAAGTAGGATCCTGAACTCTTGGACCAATGGGCTGGTGTCTGTCTTTAAAACTCATCTGTTCAGTTCATAGTCCAAAATTTAAAAAAAAACCCAAAACCCTCTTTAATTTAATTCCATGCACGAACTCCAGGTTAAGATTGCAGCTGACAAAACTGCTGATACTTGAGACCAGTGTCCCAAAGTAGTAGTTCCTACTGTTTTGAATTCTGCTGTTCTTTTTCTGTTTTGTCTTTTTTTTCCTCATTATCTTTCTTCCAGGTCTCAGAGAAGCTACTACACAGCTAGCAAAGGATATTTCTCTGTTAGAGAGAGATTTGTTTCTTACCAATATGTAACCAATCTTTTAATCAAATTTTGAAGAGTCCAAGCTCTGTTTTCCTTCTTGCAGTGCTTGTCAGACCCCCTTCCCCAAAATAAATGCTGCTTTATTAATTGGCTGATACTTATTTTCTTTTCAGTGGACTCATTGGTCGCAGCTGGGCCATGGTGTTTGCTGCTGGAGGCTTCAAAGTGAAACTTTATGATATTGCACAACAACAGCTAACAAGTGCACTGGAAAACATTCGGTAGGTCACCTGACTTGAAATGACTGGGATTGTAATGAAACTGGGATTTCTGTAATTATGAATGAACAGCCACATCTTACTATTTAAGGGAACATAGGTTTTAAGCTGGGGGTTTATTTAATTAAAAAACCCCAGCCACATCTTACTATTTAAGGGAACATAGGTTTTAAGCTTGGAAGAAGGCTTTAACTTAGAAGTACAGGTCTTGTTAAGATCAGAACTATGCTCCCAAATATCTCAATGACACTTCTGAAGAGCACTTTAATTCTTAAGTAGTGATTTCAGAGCTTAAGTTTAGATACAAATTCTTGAAATGATGTTTACCATGATTAGGTTATCTATAGGCTAAGCTGAAAACGAACGTAAGAGTTTTTGCATAGAAAGACAACAAAGACTTTCAAAATGGAAGTAGGTTAATATGGATCACTGAGGAGCCCTGCTACAATTATTAGTATTTTATAACTAGAATTTTTTTAAATTCTTAAACTAATATTTTTCTGAGTCCTAGAAGAACAGATTCTTAGTTCCACTAACGATGCAACTACTGATCAGTTATAGTAGAGGCTGGGAAGCATCTTTAGAAGAAGCAAATTTGAGAGCATGAACACAAGAACGATCGCACTGGTTCAGACTAGCAATCCTCCAGCCCTTTACTCTGTTGCCCCATGGCACTACGACTAAAGCCACATGCTTTTGGTACACGACAGAGCTACAAGTTCAAGTCCTGCCTGTCTGCTCCCCTCCCCCAACCTTCAGTGCCTAGAAGTTGCTTATGTATTCAGTAACTCTAACTAGATTTCTTCCAATTATTTCTCTAACCTTCCCTTGAACCTGTGTAAATCCTTTTGTGGCCTCCTTGCCAAAGGACTTTGTGTTCTGCAGGTTTACTGCTTACTGTGTGAAGAGCTATTCCCTTTTGTTTGTTTTCAACCTGGTTCCTCAGTTGCATTGTTTGGCCCCTAGTTCTTATGTTAGAAGGGACAGTGGCTGGTTGGTTCTATTCACCCTCTTCTTGCTGGACCTGAAATACAGCTTTTTAAATGCACGCTCTCTCTAAGGCATATATAGAGTGATTCTGTGCACAATCTTATGTTGCTGTATCACCATTTCATTCTAAAGTTCAGGTTTCTTCACGGTCAGCATCAACCTAAATGCGTCAGCCCTCCCTTCAATGATGCCTTGGAGTGAAATGTGTCAGCTGGTATGGGGACTAAGCTGCACCTAAAAAAGGGTTGTGGTGTGTTGCATCCTGATTGCTTTCTGTAACAAGGCTTACAGCAAGGAGGAGTGACTTCAGGAGCCCCTTGTAGGTCAGTTTAGCTGTTGGAGTTTAGAAGTTAAACAGTATGTGATATCTAGTGAGACTTGCTAAACAAAGATTTTCCCCCTCTTTCATTATCAAGCCATCTCCTACAATTTCTTTTTTTTTTTTTTCCTTTCCCCAAACCTCTCTTTCCAGATAGGTGCTAGTCAGACCAAGCATCTCTGTTGCTACACCGAGATGACAAACACCTTTGTTTTTTTTGCAGAATTGCTGTCATAGCGGTAGCCATGATGAGATTCTAGATTATTGCAGAGGGGGCAGTTTTGCAGTCTACGTTACTAAAGACAGCACTTGCCCCTAATTTTTTCTTTTTCTAATAGCGAAATGAGGACTTTAGCCTTCCGAGGTTTTCGGCTTGGAAAAGTGAAGTGTAAAATGTCATGTGTAATAGGGTAGAGTGCTATTTGGGTGTGTCTGTACTGTCTTATGCCTGCATGTGCTGTCCCATAGGAGTTCAAGGCAGGTTTTGCCTTTTACATAAGGTGTTCTTAACTCAACTTATAATTAACTTGTGTATCTTGGCTGTTGTAGCATCCTAGTTAAAAAGTCTAGTTTCAGGACAACGTAGTTTTTGTGACAAGAATACAAGCTATGCAGTTTCTTCAACCAGTATTTTAATGATTGTATCTGTCAAAATATGGTCAAACTTGAACTCCTCTGCACTGATTTCACAGCACACAACCTGCACTAAATCTCTTTGAGTTACTGATATGATACTTGTGTGAGAGCTAGAGCTTGAGTAGGTAATGAGGGCTCACAGGAGAGAGCAACTGACAAAGCCAGTTGGTGGCTACTTCTCTGGACTTGCTGGGATTTGCTTTCCTTTTTCTCTCCAAATAGGTAGGGCTTCTAGGGAAGTTTTTAGGCTTAGGGTTTTTGTGGGGTTTTTTGTTTTAATACTGAAAAATATTTGTTCCACTGTAGTCTGCAGTCCATGAACTCTTAGTGTATGGAGGTACTCTACATATTAAGGAGAAACTGGAGTGGACTGTTTGTAGTTTCCCTCTTCTAAACAAAAAAAAAAGTGGGATTTGAGTAGTAAACAACATTCACTTCTAAAAGGAGATGATACTCCTTTGACAGAAATGATACTTAAGTATTTATTAACTGTTTTATGTGATGGACTTTTAGTACATTGACTTGTAACTCATTGTTCTGAATTTATATAAAGGGCATCTCAGGGTTCATTAACCTAATGAATTCAATTCTCACACAACAGTAGGTGGGCAGCAGGGGTGTGTAGTCCTGCAAGAGGACTGGAATGAGTCTGGGGTGGACCTACAATGACCATGAGAGCCTGCATGTATCTGTATGGAAAATCTGAAATGTACTCTGTAAATTTATTCAAAACACTTGGTTATGGGTAAAAAATAAGATTAAAATGTGGAATTTGGATCTACTGAAACAAGTGGAAATACATATCATGTTGCCACAATATCAGTAGACCAGATACAGAAAGAAAAGGAGAGTGTGTTTACTAAGGCCTAACATGGTGTGATGGATTTACTACCTATCTACCTGTTGCCAGACATGTGGCAGTCAGTGCCCTGACACACAAAACGACCTCACATTGGATTGAACTGGGTGTACCAGTGGCATTATTAACCAGCGTCTGCTCTAATGGAACAACCTTTTGTTCTGCTGAAGAAACAAACTAATTAACAGCTTTATGCCACACTTGACCTACTGAATACATGCTGTAGTAACCTGCCTTGGAAGATGTAACTTTTCATATCTAGTATGCTTTCTTCTGAGTCAGTGTGATTCTGATTTGAATACAAGATTGATAAACTTTAAAGTAATGAGAATTGGAAAAACAAGTAGTACCCTATTCCTGAAAGTAATCCTAAAACACATGATGCAGAAATGCTTTAGTGCATGCCCCCCTGTCATGGTTTAACCTCAGTCGGCAACTGAGCACCACACAGCTGCTCGCTCACTCTCCTCCCCTGTCCCGGTGGGAGAGAATCAGAAGAGTAAAAGTGAGAAAACTCGTGGGTTGAGATAAAAACAGTTTAATAATTGAAATAAAATAACATACTACTACTACTAATAGTAGTAGTAATAATAATAAGAATAATAATATAATAAGAAGAATATACAAAGCAAGTGATGCACAATGCAATTGCTGCTCCCCTGCTGACTGATGCCCAGCCAGTCCCCGAGCAGCGGCCCCCCCCAGCCAGCTTTCCCCCAGTTTATATACTGAGCATGACGCTTCTTGTGCACCTCCAGCCTTCTCAGTAGAGCATGGGAAGCTGAAAAGTCCTTGACTTAGTATAAACACTACCTAGCAACAACTAAAACATCGGTGTGTTATCAACATTATTCTCATACTAAATCCAAAACACAGTGCTATACCAGCTACTAGGAAGAAAATTAACTCTATCCCAGCCGAAACCAGGACACCCCCGAAAAACCTTTACGATTCTTGTAATACGTAAACTTTTTTCAAATAGTTACTGTGCTACTGTTCTAAACATAATTATGCTACTGATAAAGACTGATTAATTACAGTGGAAATGCTGTATTTTTTCCCCCCATGTAACTGGTTCATGTTTTGTGTAGAACAGTTTTTGCATGTATAATGAAAGACTATTGCAAGGAGAAAAAGTTTAGATGACTCTGAAGAGGACACTAAAGCTTGGATATTTGCGCGTGCATTCTGTGATTTCTTTCTAGAAGTAGATGCTGGTTAAATATGGTATTTACTTAGATACAAAACTGTATCTCCTGCAGGACACAGGAGCAGGTAACTGTTTTTAATACATAAAAACCAAACAGTTATATGCATAAAGGCTATAGCAACTTCAGAAAAAAAATCGTAGAAGATCTCAGGAAGTAGTCTGTGATAAAATGTGAAGACAAGATTATTTTTAAAACTGCATTATTATATTCAACTGCACTAAACAATAAATTTATACTAGAATCTCTTTTCTATCTTCTGATCCTTCCTTTCTTCTCTTAGCCCAAGTAGAAAATTTTTCTGGGACAAATTGAAGTTGACTTTGTCCAGTGGTAGTTGTATCTAGGGATATGGGCATATAAAATTACTATTGCTACTTTTATTGCATAGATACAAGTGAAATGCAATAGTAGTATCAAAACATGAAAATATTTGGTTGGAAAGGAAGCAACTTTGACCCTCTCTTTATTAAATTGGGACCCTCTCCCTTAGATTTAAATTAATTTAAATTAATTAATTAAAATGAAATTATTAGTGGGTTCCGTTCTTCCAGAACGGACTTCTACAGAACTCTGCCTTCTGAAAGCTGATATACGGTGCTAAGGTTGTGTGGTACTGAATCTAAACTCAAAAGTGAGGCTGTTCAGTAAGAATTACTTGTATGTCAGCTTTATCTGACTATATATTGCTCTTCTGCATGGTTCAGAGATGTTAGGCCTTTGAAGAGTTGGAGCCAAGCAGTCTTGAGATCAGAATATCACACTTCCTCTCTTCATTAAGTATTAATTTAACCATAAACTTTATTGGACTTGAGCAAAGTGCAATATTGCACTAAGCAACCTTAACTTTTTCCGTGCTGTAGGACCACAATTGCTATGAAAAAGAAACAAGATGCAGGGGCTAGGAAAAAAGTAGTAGCATTGCTCTGACCACCCCTGGCCAAGTGGAGAGAAGTACCTTAAGAGTTCTGTACTGTTGTGAATGGGGATC